GTATGCTGGTGCCCTTCGTCGAGTACTGCGTCTGCCACGCCTCCGTCCTCACCATCCTGGTCATCAGTTTCGAGAGATATTACGCCATCTGCAGGCCCCTGAGAGCGTCCTACACCTGTACGAAGATGAGGGCGTGGACTTGTATTTTGAGCATATGGGCGTCAGCTGTTTTGTTGTCCAGGTGAGTAAGGGGGAGGGGAAGGAAGGGAAGGGAGGGAGGGGAGTGGAAGGGGAAGAGGTGTAAGGGAAAGAGGTGTAAGGGAAAGAGGTGTAAGGGAAGGAGGGATGGGAGGGAGGTGAGTAAGGGGAATGGAAGGGAGAGGGAGGGAGGGAGCTCTTTTGTTGTCCAGGTGAGTAAGGGGAAGGGGGGAAGTGGAAGTTGGGGTAAGGGGTGTAAGGAAGGGAGGGAGGGGGTGTGAGGGAGGGAAGAGGTGTAAGGGAGGGAGGGAGCTTTTTTGTTGTCCAGGTGAGTAAGGGGAAGGGGGAGGTGGGTGAGGGGTGTAAGGGAAGGATGGAGGAGGGAGGGAGGTGAGGAAAGGGGCAGGGAGGGAGGGGGATGGAAGAGGGAGGGAGCTGTTTTGTTGTCCAGGTGAGTAATGGGAAGGGGAAGGGGGGTTGTAAGGGAGGGAGGGATTGGGAGGTGAGTAAGGGATAGGAGGGTGGTGTAAGAGAGGGAGGGGGATGGAAGAGGGAGGGAGCTGAACAGATGGTGGGTGGGAGGGAGAGGGAGGAGGGGGGGAAAGTGAGTACATAAGAGACATACACATTATTTTAACCTCACTTGCACATCTAATTATAAATGCTACATATCTTACGAATTAGATTTTACAACTCCAAACTAAATTCAGCAACTGAAAAAAACAAACAAACAAATAAAAAACAAAAACAAAAACAGCGAAGCAAAAAAAAAGAACAAACAAAATAAAAAATGAAAAAACAACAACAAAACAAACAAACAAATAAAACAAAACAAAAACAAAGCGAAGCAAAAAAAAGAACAAACAAAAAAAAGAAAAAAAAGAAAAGAAAAAATAAATAAAAATAGTTCCAAAACAACAGCTACCGAACAGCAGGGAGCAATTTAAGGCTGCATTCTGTCCCCCTTAATGTATATATACGCACGCGTGTGTGTGTGCGTTGGCAGGGAGAAAGGGGGAAGTGCCAACAGAGAGAGTAGTGCCAGCAGAGAGGTGGGAGGGAGGAGGAAGGGGGGGAGGAGAAGTGCCTGGGACACGTGGCACTTTTTTTTGAGACGCGTGGCACTTTTTTGGGACACGTGAAACTTTTTTGAGACACGTGGCACTTTCTTGGGATACGTGACACTTTCTTGAGACACTTGGCACTTTCTTGAGACACGTGGCACTTTCTTGAAACACGTGGCACTTTCTTGGGACACGTAGCACTTTCTTGAGACACGTGGCACTTTCTTGAGACCCGTGGTACTTTCTTGGGACACGTGGCATTTTCTTGGGACACGCGGCACTCTCTTGGGACACGTGGCACTGTGTGTAAACAAGGGGAAATCGGACGCAATGTATACCTTAATGAAACCCTCCCCCCCTTTCCCTTTCCCCTTCCTCCTTCCCCTTTCTCTCTCTCCTCCCTTTCCTTCCCTTCCTACACACTCCAATACTCTCCCCCTCCCTCCCCCCTTCCCTATATAATCACCTCTCCCCTCTCCCTCCCTTTCTCCCTCTTCCCCTTACATATTTTCGCCCTTCCCTCCCCGCCCCCCATCCCCATACGCACATCACTCCCCCCCCACGCCTTATTTTTCCTTATACCAATCCCCCTTACCTCCCTCCCTCCCTCCCTTCCTCTCTCTCTCCCTCCCTCCTTCCCTCCCTCTCTCCCTGCTTCCCTCCCTCCCTCCCTCCTTCCCTCTCTCCCTCCCTCCCTCCTTCCCTCTCTCTCTCCCTTCCTCTCTCTCTCCCTCCCTCCCTCTCTCCCTCCCTCCCTCCTTTCCCTCCCTTCCCTCCCTCCCTCCCTCCTTCCCTCTTTCCCTCCCTCTCTCTCTCCCTCCCTCTCTCCCTCTCTCCCTCCCTCTCTCCCTCTCTCCCTCCCTCCCTCCTTTCTATATCTCGCTTACCTCCCCCCCCCCCCTTCTCCCTGTTGCTTTCCCAGAACACGGGCGCAGACAAACACAGACGTACATAGACACAGATGCACGAAATAATTACTAAATACACAAACACACACACACAGACACACACACACACTCACACACAGACGCACACACAGATATTTACCCCCTCGATCATTCATTACTTTTCCAAAAAAATGTTTTAACACGCACATGATAAAAGACGAAGACTAATAGATCATATATATCTTACACTATTTTTTAAAATTAACTGATAAATCAATCACCTAAAAATACAATACGCCGTCAGCTGGTTTCATAAATTTTATCAACAGCAATTTTTGAACATTGAGTCGAGATACTGTTCAACACTGACACGAATTTAGTTAAAAGAAATAAAAGTAAAACGTATATTTGTTTACATATAATATCCATTTATATTCTGGCACAATTATGTACAAACACGTCTATTTCTCTGTCTATCTGTCTGTCTATCCGTCCATATTAGTTACGGCGTGTCGATGTATCTTAATAGCTGTCTCTATCCCATCTTTATTTGTAACCTATCTCTCTTGTTTATCTTCTGATTTGGGTGTGGGTGAGTGTTTATTTGCCTCTCTCTTTCCTTTTTTTTTTCTTTACCCTCTCTTTCTCTTTAGTTCTCAATCTGTCTGTCTGTTACCTCTCTCTATCTCTATCTATCTTTCTCTCTATCTATCTCTGTCTGTGTCTGTGTCTATCTATCTCTTCTCTCTCTCTCTCTCTTTCTCTACCTGTCTATCTATTTATCTCTATCTGTCTGTCTATCTCTCTATCTTTCGATCTATCTACCCCCCCTTTCTCTGTCTGTCTGTCTGTCTCTCTCTCTTTCTCTCTCGCTCTCTTTTTCTTATTTCAATTTCTCTCACCCTCTCTCTCTCTCTCCTCTCTCTCTCTCTCTTCTCTCTCTCTCTCTCTCCTCTCTCTCATCTCTCTCTCTCTCTCTCTCTCTCCTCTCTCTCTCTCTCCCTCTCCCCCCCCCCCCCCCCCTTCTCCCTGTTGCTTTCCCCAGAACACGGGCGCAGACAAACACAGACGTACATAGACACAGATACACGAAATAATTACTAAATACACAAACACACACACACAGACACACACACACACACACACTCACACACAGACGCACACACAGATATTTACCCCCTCGATCATTCATTACTTTTCCAAAAAAATGTTTTAACACGCACATGATAAAAGACGAAGACTAATAGATCATATATATCTTACACTATTTTTTAAAATTAACTGATAAATCAATCACCTAAAAATACAATACGCCGTCAGCTGGTTTCATAAATTTTATCAACAGCAATTTTTGAACATTGATCGAGATACTGTTCAACACTGACACGAATTTAGTTAAAAGAAATAAAAGTAAAACGCATATTTACATATAATATCCATTTATATTCTGGCACAATTATGTACAAACACGTCTATTTCTCTGTCTATCTGTCTGTCTATCCGTCCATATTAGTTACGGCGTGTCGATGTATCTTAATAGCTGTCTCTCTCCCATCTTTATTTGTAACTTTCTATCTCTCTTGTTTATCTTCTGATTTGGGTGTGGGTGAGTGTTTATTTGCCTCTCTCTTTCCTTTTTTTTTTTCTTTACCCTCTCTCTCTTTCTCTTTAGTTCTCAATCTGTCTGTCTGTTACCTCTCTCTATCTCTATCTATCTTTCTCTCTATCTATCTCTGTCTGTGTCTGTGTCTATCTATCTCTTCTCTCTCTCTCTCTTTCTCTACCTGTCTATCTATTTATCTCTATCTGTCTGTGTCTATCTCTCTATCTTTCGATCTATCTACCCCCCCTTTCTCTGTCTGTCTGTCTGTCTCTCTCTCTTTCTCTCTCGCTCTCTTTTTCTTATTTCAATTTCTCTCACCCTCTCTCTCTCTCTCTCTCTCTCTCTCTCTCTCATCTCTCGTCTCTCTCTCTCTCTCCTCTCTCTCTCTCTCTCTCTCTCTCTCTCTCTCTCTCTCCCTCTCTCTCTCTCTCTCTCTCTCTCTCTCCCTCCCTCTCTCTCTCTCTCTCTCTCTCTCCCTCTCCCCCCCCCCCCCTCTCTCTCTGTTTACAATGGTGTTTGACTATTTGTCTCACTTTGTTTATGTATGCCTATCTGCCAGTCTGTTGGTTTTGCCGTCTGTCTGTTTTTGTTTCTTGCTGCCTATCTATCGGTCCATATTTACATGTTAATCTGTCTGTCTATCTACCTGTCTATCTACCTGCCTGCCTGTCTGTCTATCTAACTATCTGTCTATCTAACTGGTTGTCAATCTATCTACCTATCTATCTACCTGTCTGTCTATCTATCTATCTATATACCTATCTATCTATCTACCTGTCTATCTACCGGTGTGCCTGTCTGTCTGTTTATCTATCTATCCGCCTGTCTATGCATTTATCTGTCATCGTCAACGTATAAATCTCAGAAGATATGAATAAGGAGAAGAGAGAATAGGAAAAGAAGAAAGAGGGAAGAGGAAAGATACGATTAATAATACTTCTGTTGTTTTCTCCATCGGAATCCGAAAGAAAATATGTAAATGAGGTCCCGTTTTTAAATTAAATCAAGGTATGACTAAAAGAAAAAAAGGGGAGAGAGAGGAGAGAGAGAGAGAGAGAGAGAGAGGGAGAGGGAGGGAGAGAGAGAGAGAGAGAGAGAGAGAGAGAGAGAGAGAGAGAGAGAGAGAGAGAGAGAGAGAGAGAGAGAGAGAGAGAGAGAGAGAGAGAGAGGGAGAATAAGAAAAAAAAGGAGAAAAAACATTAAAGATAGATGTATAAAGATTTTCCTCCTTTCTCTTTGTGTATTTGTTTTATTTTTATTATTATTTTCTTTATTATTATTATTATTATTGCTGTTGTTGTTTTTAAATCTTAGTGTTATTGTTATTAGCATTATTATTACTGTACTGTTTTTTGTTGTCTTTCTATTTCGAATCATTAACTGATTTTATCTCACTAATTTCAAATATATATATTTTTTTCAAATTGATTGACAGGAAGTATAATAGTTGTTATTAGATTAATATCGAATATGATGGCAAATGTTATAG